CGAACTCGTGTAGAATTTGAGGCGATCACATCTTGCTCTATTTTGTGCCGTTGAAAGCGTTTAATATCTCGTTAGAAAGATATTATCGAGTTCTAAAACCTGTCTTCAGGCGCTGGTTTCAAAATATCAAGGGATGATTGCCTTATTTCAAAAATACACAGTACTTACGCTAAAAGTGCTCTATTTTCGCTGAAAACGTTAAATCATAGAGATAAGGCTAGGTATTTGTGACACTCATATCTTGCTGTGTGTTTATCCGTTTCGAGCTTATCATATCTCGTTTAAATAATAGATCAGAGCTCTAAAGCTATTTTTCCAACTTAATTTACAATGCATTAATTAAAAGTTACAGATTAACCATATATTCACAAATGTTTCTGATTTCACTCCGAACTCGTGTAGGATATGATGCGATCATATCTTGCTCTATTTTGTGCCGTTGAAAGCGTTTAATATCTCGTTGGAAAGCTCTTACCGATTTCTAAAACATGTCTTCAGGCGCTGGTTTCACAATATCAAGGGATGATTGCCTTGATGAGAAAATCAGTCCCAATTAGGATCTAATCTCACTAAACATGATAAAATTCATAGAATCAAACAATAAGAACACTAACCGGTTGAGGAGAAACCGAATGTTGATGGTGTCGTAGAAGACGATGAAGCCATGACGTTTTGATTCTCTAAGGATACAAGCGGATTTCGATGGATTAAACAATTCTCCTTTGGGTCTCTTATTATAGGTGTTCTTGAGACCCTTGGGAATGAACGTGTACGTTCGTTTAGTCGTAAGAATTGAATGGGCGGATGCCTTTTATATTTTGTATCAAAGAGAAACCCATTTGATCCCTTATGTATTATTTAATGTTAAAACATACCCATCATATGTTAACTATACATAAATACAAGGACCAAATCTGTCATATGGCAAACTTAATGGTAAGACATAAATGTCTCCAATATATATTAAATTATATAAATGGTCCAAGGGCATTTAAATGGAATATTTTTCCAACCATTCTCCCACTTGACCTTGAGATCATTTATACATAAGCTAAAGTAAGTGTTGGCCAAGAAAATTTCATCTTACTCCATAATAATATCAAAGCAAACAAATACAGTCTAACGGGTCAATATAACCCGGGACCCCATTAATCATACTTTGACAGTTCTTAAAGAGTATAAGGATTAATATAAGCCAAATGACATTAAACTTAGGGTATTATGTTTGTCTATTAAATAACTTTGTGTGCACAATAAAGAATAGACAAAACATACTTAAGGAGGGATTCTAAATTAAGTACTTGAAAATATTAAATAAGATAACTAGTCAGACACTATGCTATTAATTCCTAAACAGGATCTTTGATCAAGCCCATATTAGTGACATGTCTTTGAAAAATACTGGGCGGAAGTCCTTTGGTGAGAGGATCTGCTAGCATATCATTTGTGCTGATGTGTACGATACAAATTTTGTTTTCCTCCACTCTTTCTCGAACGAACAAATATTTTGTATCGAGGAACAATCCCGCTCCACTCGAACTGTTATTGTTTGAGAAGCTCACGGCTGCGGAATTGTCACAATAAATCCTTAGTGGTCTTGAGACGGAATTCACTACTTTGAATCCTTTGATAAGATTCCTTAACAACATCCCATGACATGTTGCGTTGTACACCGCAACATATTCAGCCATCATTGTTGAAGTAGTTGTAAGTCTTTGCTTGTGGCTTTTCCATGATATTGGCCCACCTGACAGCAAGAAAATGTATCCCGAAGTAGACTTCCTATCGTCTTTGCACTTAGCAAAATCGGAATCGGAATATCCAACCACTTCTAAATTATTAGACCTCTCATAAGTCAATTTGTACTCCTTAGTCCCTTGAAGATACCGCAAAACTTTCTTAGTGGCTTTCCAATGATCTAATCCTGGGTTAGATTGATATCTACCCAACATACCGGATACATATGCGATATCTGTACGAGTACAAACTTGTGCATACATCAGGCTTCCAACTACGGAAGCATAAGGAATGAGTTTCATTTGCTCTTTCTCAACCTCGGTTTTTGGGCATTGGAATGACCCAAAAACGTCTCCCTTAACTATTGGATTAACTGATGGAGAGCATTGTTTCATGTTGAAACGTTCTAAAATGCGCTCAATGTATGCCTTTTGGGACAGGCCTAACGTCCCTTTGACTCTGTCTCGGTGAATTTCAATGCCTATAACATAAGAAGCTTCACCTAGATCTTTCATGTCAAAATGGCCAAATAATAAGCGTTTTGTTTCATGCAACAAATCCAAGTCACTACTTGCTAATAAGATGTCATCAACATATAACAAAAGTATGATGAATTTGCTCCCGCTCATTTTGAGGTAAGTGCATTGATCTACTTTGTTTTTAATGAAGCCATTTGATTTCATGACTTCATCAAATTTAAGGTACCATTGTCGAGATGCTTGCTTGAGCCCATAAATAGACTTCTTGAGTTTACACACTAGATGTTCTTGACCCTTAGAAACATAACCTTCTGGTTGTATCATATAAACATCTTCGTGTAAATCTCCATTTAAGAAGGCTGTTTTGACGTCCATTTGATGTAGCTCAAGATCAAAATGAGCTACTAAAGCCATAACGACCCTTAGGGAGTCCTTTCGAGAGACGGGTGAAAAGGTATCTTGATAATCTACACCTTCCCTTTGAGTGTACCCCTTGGCGACCAATCTTGCCTTATATCTTTCAATGTTTCCCTTTGCATCTAATTTTGTCTTGAAGACCCACTTGCTTCCAACGGGCTTATGACCCTTTGGTAATTCAGCAAGTTCCCAAACATTGTTCTTCTCCATGGAAAGAAGTTCCTCATTCATGGCTTCTTTCCAATGAGTCGATTGGTCACAATTAATGGCATCAAGGAAAGATATAGGATCTACAACTTTCCCTAAATCAAAGTCGGCTTCTTCATTCAAATATATCAAATATTCATCAAAATTTGTGGGGCGTCTGACCCTTTGAGATCTCCTTAAGGGTTGCTGATTTTCCAGAATTTCATTAGTAACCGGTGGAGTTGGTTCAACATTGATTGGAGTTTCATTCGCCTCTTGACTTGTTGCATCATTATTATGAGGTGTATGACTTTCACTATGATCTTCAAGTGAGGAGTTAGGTGGAATGGGCAGTATATTAAGTGGATTTATTCCATTTCCCTCTTGAAGTTCATCACAAAAGTTTGAACCACTACTACTCTCACTAACGTTAGTATTCTCAAGGAATTCAGCATGTCGAGTCTCGACAATTCGGGTGGTATGAGATGGGCAATAGAACCTATATCCCTTAGATCTCTCGGGATAGCCAATAAAGGAACAACTAATGGTTCTCATGTCAAGTTTCTTCAATTGAGGATTATACACTTTTGCTTCAGCCGGACAACCCCACACTTTTAGGTACCTTAGACTAGGTTTCCTGCCCGTCCAAAGCTCATATGGAGTCTTAGGGACAGATTTAGATGGTACTCTATTAAGTATGTGGGTTGCTGTTTTTAAGGCCTCGGTCCATAAGATTTGGGGAAGATTAGAGTTAGCCAACATACTTCGGACCATATCCATAAGAGTCCTATTCCGCCTTTCAGCAACCCCATTTTGTTGAGGGGTGCCGGGCATGGTATATTGGTTGATGATCCCGTGATCTTTACAAAATTCATGGAACGATCCAGGAGCTTGACCAATATCAGTGTGTCGACCATAGAACTCTCCACCCCTATCCGATCTCACTACTTTGATTTTTCGATCAAGTTGATTTTCAACTTCAGCTTTATAAGCCTTGAACATATCTAGTGATTCGGATTTTTCCTTAATCAAATATAGGTACATATAGCGTGAATAATCGTCTATGAAAGTAATAAAGGACTTATGACCACTTATGGAATCGGGAAAAGGCCCACAAATATCGGTGTGTATTAATTCTAACAAACCAGTGCTTCGTGTGGCGCCTTTCTTAATTTTCTTAGACAATTTCCCTTTCAAACACTTCACACACTTGTCATAATCTGAGAAGTCAAGATTTGGAAGAATTCCGTCTTTCACGAGTCTTATCATTCGATCTCGTGATATGTGGCCCAACCTTTGATGCCACAAATTAGACGACGATTCCAATTCTCTTTCTCTTACAAGGATTTTCAGTTATATTAAATGAAAAAGGGGATTCCATAAAATTAGTATCTAAGCATAATTTATAGAGATTTCCCTCCATGCTACCAAATCCTATTACATTTGAGTTCAAGCTTATTGTCACTTTATTGTACACGAAATTAAATGTAAAACCATCAGCACTTAGTTTCGATACAGACACTAAATTACGAGTAATATTAGGTACATAAAGAGCATCACGAAGATGAAGAATGAAGCCACTCTCTAACATTAATGAGATAGTTCCAATGGCCTCCACTTCTAATTCTTCTCCGTTGCCCACCTTAATCACTCTTTGCTTTCTTCCCAATGTCCGGATTGAATGGAATCCCTGCGGTGTGTTTGAAACATGAACCATTGAACCAGAGTCAATCCACCAAGTATTAAGGGGAACTGATGTGTTTAATGATTCATAAATTACATAGGTGGTTAAGTTACCTTTCTTAGTCAGCCATGCCTTAAACTTAGGGCACTCCCTCTGGTAATGCCCTTTGAAGCGACAAAACTTACAGTAAGGACTGGAGCTCACGCTTGCACCTATCTTTGGGACCTTAGAAATGTTACCTTTTCCTCCTCCTTGACGATTGCCTTTCCTTTTCTTTGAGTTTGTGGTGGTGAGATGAGCAACATCTGGTCTTTCAACTTTAAGGCGCTCTTCTTCTTGAACGCACATAGCAATCAACTTGCTCATTGTCCATTTCTCTTTCTGCGTGTTGTAATTGATCTTGAACGGACCATAAGATGCAGGTAGAGAAGTCATTATGAAATGAACGAGGAAACCTTCACTTATTTCCATGTCCATACTTTTGAGCTTATTGGACCTATCAGACATTTTCATGATGTGCTCACGAATACCACTCACTCCATCATACTTACTCGTCAACATTTTGAGAATCAAGGTACTAGCATGTGCTTTAGAAGTGCCCTTAAACTGTTCTTCCACATATTCTAGGTAGGTTTTCGCATTTTCTGAGTCTGGAATGGCTCCGCGAATAGCTACAGATATGGAATTCTTGATCACCATGAGGCACATTCTGTTGGACCTCTCCCACTGTTCATAAGAACGCTTCTTCTCCACAGTGCTCTCAGCGTTAGGAGCATCCGGTGGATCCATTCTCAGTGCTTGGTCGAGGTCCATCATGCCAAGTGAGAGTTTTACAGATTCTCTCCATGTTGAGAAGTTTGTACCATTTAGAGGTTCTATCCCATAATTGTATGGGGTAACAGTAGATGCTGAAATAAAAGTTTTAACAGAGGTAATAATAGAAGCTATTTATTATATATAAGGGAATACAATAAGGCATGTCAATTATTAGTAAATAAGCCTATTATCAACACCAAATAATAGGAAAAATTCATATCATGTTTAATAACTAACATTGCGTTGGCTAATGTTAATTATCAAATATTATGATATTAAAATTAAAATTAGGTTGCAAAGTGTGTCACATATCACCTTTGGGCAGAAATATAACACATTTGATTATGCTAAAATTTCATTATACAATTAATTTATCAAATAACACACCTTTGGGTTTGTTAAAAGAAAACTCATATAATGGTTTAAGATAGTCAAAACAAATGATCTTCCGTTGGGCAAATCATTGAATTTGACATTAAGATCATATTCGTGCAGTATTAGTCTTACAACTAAACATTTCATAATTAATTCAGAAATAAAGTTGTTAGTCGTATGATTGCATTTGTAATGGTTGTAATATGCGATTAGCATTATTTCATGCATTCTCCAAAACTAATGGTCCAAAACCAAACTGAGGCATATCCATTTATTAAATTGCAGTGCACTTTGGTTGTTTATCTCATTCAACATTAAAAGGAAATAAAGCTATATGTATTTCTATCGGATTCTTCTCTGCACTGCACTGCACTTAAGTACATACATGCTGAAAAATGGCAGACCCAAAAGGAATCTATTGCTTCATTTGTTTACTAATATTGATAATCTCAGATTTTTTTTATTCAAGCCAAGGAAAAGCAAACAAACGGATTCAAATCAAAAGTATATTTACAAGTTTTAAATTAAATCTGGAAAATTTGATTCCTAATAAAACACGAATCTAATGTGTATTTCAAATTCCAGAAAAAACAAAACAAACTAAAGGTCTCATATTTTTTATTATTATTATAAGCAATCAAAGAGAAAAAAAAAGGGTTGATTCAAAACAAAACTGAGTTTTAAAAGAAGGGTAAGCACCATATATGAAACAAGAAGGCTACGTGTCTGCATTTATACATATAGGGATCAACATAGTGGCAGTACACTAAGAAAGTAAAGAAATTAAATGCACTAAAGTGCTCATACATGAATCACAGTTATTAAGTGTTGTTCGCAATTCTAAAACAAAATATCACAGATCAGAAATAGCATATTCTGAATCAAATAGTACCCAGCGAATCAGTAATGGTTTAAATTCATCACTTTTGAGAATCCAACGAAATCTCCGATTCTTTATTCACTACCGCAACCCAGAAACAGGTTTTCACATGATGAAAATATATGAACGGCGAGAAGCAATGAATTGCTTACGGCAAATCAAAATTAACTTCGAAAATTTATCACGTAAGTGAGAATTAACAGGCTCTGATACCAAATGATGAGAAAATCAGTCCCAATTAGGATCTAATCTCACTAAACATGATAAAATTCATAGAATCAAACAATAAGAACACTAACCGGTTGAGGAGAAACCGAATGTTGATGGTGTCGTAGAAGACGATGAAGCCATGACGTTTTGATTCTCTAAGGATACAAGCGGATTTCGATGGATTAAATAATTCTCCCTTGGGTCTCTTATTATAGGTGTTCTTGAGACCCTTGGGAATGAACGTGTACGTTCGTTTAGTCGTAAGAATTGAATGGGCGGATGCCTTTTATATTTTGTATCAAAGAGAAACCCATTTGATCCCTTATGTATTATTTAATGTTAAAACATACCCATCATATGTTAACTATACATAAATACATGGACCAAATCTGTCATATGGCAAACTTAATGGTAAGACATAAATGTCTCCAATATATATTAAATTATATAAATGGTCCAAGGGCATTTAAATGGAATATTTTTCCAACATGCCTAATTACTAAAATACACTGTATTTACGCTAAAAGTGCTGTATTTTCGCTTAAAACGCTAAATCATAGAGATAAGGCTAAGTATTTGTGACACTCATATCTTGCTGTGTGTTTATTCGTTTGGAGCGTATTATATCTCGTTGGAAAGATAGATCGGAGCTCTAAAGCTATTGTTCCAACTTCATTTACAATGCATTAATTGAAAGTTACAGATTAACCATATATTCACAAATGTTTCTGATTTCACTCCGAACTCGTGTGGAATTTGATGCGATCATATCTTGCTCTATTTTGTGCCGTTGAAAGCGTTTAATATCTCGTTAGAAAGATCTTAGCGAGTTGTAAAACTTGTCTTCAGGCGCTGGTTTGAAAATATCAAGGGATGATTTCCTAATTACTAAAATACACTGTATTTACGCTAAAAAGACTCTATTTTCGCTGAAACGCTAAATCATAGAGATAAGGCTAAGTATTTGTGACACTCATATCTTGCTGTGTGTTTATCCGTTTCGAGCGTATTATATCTCGTTGGAAATATAGATCGGAGCTCTAAAGCTATTTTTCTAACTTCATTTACAATGCATTAATTAAAAGTTACAGATTAACCAGATATTCACAAATGTTTCGGATTTCACTCCGAACTCGTGTAGAATTTGATGCAATCATATCTTGCTCTATTTTGTGCCGTTGAAAGCGTTTAATATCTCGTTGGAACGATCTTACCGAGTTCTAAAACTTGTCTTTTGGCACTGGTTTCAAACTATCAAGGGATGATTGCCTAATTACTGAATTGCACTGTATTTACGCTAAAAGTGCTCTATTTTCGCTGAAAACGCTAAATCATAGAGATAAGCCTAAGTATTTGTGACACTCATATATTGCTGTGTGTTTATCCGTTTGGAGCGTATTATATCTCATTGGAAAGATAGATCGGGGCTCTAAAGCTATTTTCCAACTTCATGTACAATGGATTAAATAAAAGTTACAGATTAACCATATATTCCCAAATGTTTCTGATTTCACTCCGAACTGGTGTAGAATATGATGCGATCATATCATGCTCTATTTTGTGCCGTTGTAAGCGTTTATTATCTCGTTAGAGAGATGTTACCGAGTTCTAAAACTTGTCTTCAGGCGCTGGTTTCAAAATATCAAGGGATTGTTGGAGATATTTAATTGTGAATCAAGTTTGTCATAGATTAGCTTCATATTTAATCCTTGTATTTAATTAGTGCATGAATTAGATAGCAATCGGGCCAAGTGTTAGGCCCATATAAACAGGCTAAAAGCCTTGTACGCCTAACCTAAACCTCGCCTATAAAAAGGGAGTCGAGGGTTTAGGATTAGGTTAACGTCGTACTTATTCTTCATAGCCTTACGCGCATACTTTTGTGTTGTACGAGTTCACGGTTTATCAAAGAGGGTTTTACGTTGATTCATTCTGTGTTCATCCTTACGTTTAATCTTCGTTGTTAGATCGTTATTCATTGCTGTTACAGAAACAGGGACTAACAATTGGTATCAGAGCCGATCGAGAACCGATCAGAAGAACGCCTGCAGAAGACTCTATTTTTCTTTACGTTGTTCTTACTGTCGATATTTCACTCTGTAATCTTTTTTCTTGTTCAAAAGTTGTAAAAGTTACACCCTTAGAATCGTCTTTGCAAAGCGATCAAGGGGTATACTTCAGATTTTGTTTTACGCATATTCTGTTTTCGAGATATCTCGAGTAGGGGTTGTCGACATCTTGTTTTTTCACAGGTTCTGCTACGTTTTTCGAGCTGAAAACTTTACCCGAGGATCTCGACATTCTACTCTACAGGAAACTACCTTCAGATTTTGCTTATCTGATTTTACAGTTTGCAGGATTTCAACATTGAGGATTTCGAGATCAAGATTTCGAAAACAAGGTCTCGACATCTGGTCTCGACATTTGACATCTCGAAATTAGATTTCGAGTTTTAATCTCTCGACATTTCAAATCTCGAGATCAGCTTCTCGAAATTTGAAATCTCGAGATCCTTAATCTCGAGATCTTTAATCTCGAGCTCAAATCTCGATACCGGGCCTCCTTTATCGAAATCTGAGATTTCGATATTCAGATCTAGACATCTGATTTTTCGACTTTCTGCTTCTGAAAATCTTTTGATCAATTTTCTCGAACGGTCAGTTTAGTACAACAATGGCCTCAGAATTCAATGTGCAAGGGAACAGCAGTACCCCTCCTAGTCTCAGGAAGGGAGAATACCAAATGTGGAGGAACAGATTCCTTAATTTCCTTGAGCACAAAGAGAACTCCGCTGCTATGCTTGAATCATTGCTTGAAGGACCAGCTGAACTCTTGATTTCAGTTGGTGGTGATCCAGAAAATAATCCTCCTATTTTTCCAGAAATAAGGAGGAAAGTGCCATCTGAATACACAGAAGCTGACAGGCTCAGGCTTCGTGGTGATCTCATGGCCAAAACATACCTTCTTCAAGCAATCCCCAATGAAGTATACGTTCTCATAGACAGCATGCAAACAGCTAAGGAAATGTGGGATGAGATAGAGAAGCTGCTCCAAGGCACAAGCATCAGCCTTAAAACCAAGAAGACTACGATTCTTATTGCTTATGACTCCTTCAAAGCAGGTCCAGGAGAACCACTGAATGAGACTTACAACAGACTCGTTAAACTGGTAAATGAACTCAGAAAAATCAAAGTATTCAGGTCCAATCTGGAACTGAATATTAGATTTTTATCCAGCCTGCATCTTGCATGGGAAAAGACAGTGAAGGATGTCAGATCTCGGATAGATTTGGACGAAATTGACCTCTGCACACTCTATGAACATCTTAAGCAATTTGTCAACGAGGTTGCCTGTGCCGAGGATCATCACACCACAAACCCCTTAGCTCTTGTAATGGAGGCTCAGCCAAGAAGGACAACCACTTCACTAAAGAAGAAAAAGAAGAAGGTGGTGGTTGAGTCAGATGATGACGAGAGTGATGATGACAAATCTGATCTAGAGGCTGAGCTAGCAGACTTACAGAAGAAGATGGCACTGCTTGCCAAAATATTTGCTAAGAAGAAAAGCTCCTCCAACAAGCTGAGAACCTCCTCCTCAAACTACAAGCAGAAGAACCATGATCAAGGATCTTCCAGAAAGGCGCCATCAGTTGAAGACGCCCCCAAATGCTACAACTGTGGTAAGGCTGGACATGTCATCAAAGACTGCCGCCTCCCAAAGAAGAAAGATGCTAATTTCTACAAGCAGAAGATGTTGTGGAATAAGCAGAAAATGCTGATGGTGCAGAAAGAAGAAGAAACTTCTGCAATGATTGCTGAGAATGAGAACTGGGCAGAAGATTCTTCTGAGGAGGAGGAGGAGGAGGAAGACAAGTATGCCCTTATGGCACGAGTGGAGGAAGATGAAAGAAAGGGTGATGCTGCGATCCCCGAAAGCGAATGCTCAACAAGCTCTGTAAGTACCTCACATACTCCTTTAAATAATCAAATGCAGTCCTTACTTGAGAAGGACAATCTAATCAAAGAACTAAAGGAGAGACTAGACATTAATTACAGGGTACTGAAACAGAATCTAGACCAAAAGTCTTCCTTAAGTGTTCAACTTGAAATTGCAAAAGATCAGGTCAAAAAGGTGTCCTCAGATTTTGAAAGCTTTGAACTTAAGATAGCTGAATTAACTAGGAAATTTGAGGATAGTGAACGAGAAAAAAGCACAACAAAGGTTGAATGCGATTTTTTTGCATAACAAGAGAAGAACACTTTTAAATAAGGTAAAAGAACTAGAGGATCTAGCTGCTAAGAGAGGTCAATCAGAACAAACTGTTTTTCTGCTTAACAGCAAACAAAAAGATGACCGATTTTACAATGCTAAAACAGGGCTGGGCATAACCAACCCACGTAATCTAAAGAAAGTTAACTGTATTCAATTCTATAACAAAGATTACATGGGACTAGGGTTAGTCGAGAAAATGCATTTTCGAAGTGATGAAGAAAACGCTGAAGCAGAAGAGGAAAAGAGAAAGAATCCAAAGTCTGCGATTTCTTGTGACTATTCCTCTGTTAATGAAAAACAACTTTCACAAGAAAAACCTACTTGTGGATCGTTGCGCTTACCGCTACACCAAAAGCAATTGCTGATAGTGAAGCACGCTCCTCCCCCTTTATAGCACAAGCGAAGCGCCACGCGGTCCGATTGCACCGGCAGGCTGGCTGTTGCTGGCACCGCATACCCGCGGCCCAACAATCTCCCCCCCAGCACCTGCCAGCCTACAACTGCGCAGCATGCTGTTGCTGGGGGTCGAACCCGTGACCTTGGCTCTGATACCACTTGTGGATCATTGCGCTTACCGCTACACCAAAAGCAATTGCTGATAGTGAATCACGCTCCTCCCCCTTTATAGCACAAGTGAAGCGCCACACGGTCCGATTGCACCGGCAGGCTGGCTGTTGCTGGCACCGCATACCCGCGGCCCAACAGTGTTTAGTTTAGCTGAAGCGTCTGGACAGTTGATTTTGAATAAGTCAACTGCTGGCAGTGATCTTCCATTGTAGTCCTCTGCTGGCAGTGGTCTGCTTTCTTGAGTCAACTGCTGATTCCAGAGTTCAGTAGTCTCTTGGCTTCTTTTCTAGAAGGGCAGCTTGGAGCCTTCCAGTGTTCTTCAAGAAAAGTCTCTTGCATGGTTTGCTCAAATACTTATTGAGTTCTGTAATTGAGATGGAGATATCACTTGATGATACCACCTGATGGTACCACTTGATGGTTGGAGCTTGAGATGGCT